AAGCCTCAGATCGAAGGAGACTCTACTCGCAGGGTATGAAAGCCTCGGAGCCATGATAGAATATTGATATGTCGAAAGTGGCCTATTTCCCGGGGATAAGGGAGTTCTCCCCATAATAAACTAGATGGGTAGGTTTTTTCCAAAAGGGGTCTTTTTTCACTCTGGAGGTATATGAAAGGGTAGGGTTTTTCTCGAGTTGTAGTACAGAAAAGGGTAGGAAAAACTGCCGTCATTTAGATGTTTGAAAAGGTTTTTCCCCGTAATAAATTCAACTGTTATACCTATGCCGGTGATTCAATTTAAAAAATATACATTCTGCTAGTGTATTGCGGAAAGAGCCATCTGAGCTCTTAAACCTTGTCTGCCATGAGCCAGTAAGTTATATTAATATACAGTGAGTTCATTTAGGTACTGTAAATCAGAGTACAAACCAAAGTCTTCAACTTCATCATTTTTGTCCCGTGAACTAGAAGCTGTAGGCCAAGCGATGGTAAATGCTTCTATCGAGTTGAAGGCGGCTATGACAAAAGCGGTGCTGACTGCCTTGAGTGGATTTAACGACATGGTGAACAACATGGAAATCAAGACGAAGACTCTCCTGCAGGACAGAGTTCGAGTTGGTACGTTTATAAAATACACACAATAAATATTCACTGTAAATTTAAAAAGTCTGTTTTGTTGTTTTTTCTCTGAGATGTGCAGTTGGTTCGCTGCGTTTGTTGTGATCATGACTACAGTAACTACTTTGGTTCCAATTTTTAGGAACTTTTAAGCAAACCACAACGGCGACGGCAACAGGAACGTCGCTAAACAAAGGCTTTGACGAACCCAGCGGCAGAACAATAGCTTTGCACGTGCGTTATAAATCTTCCAAAAAATAATGCAAAACAACAATGTGAAATTACAGAGTTCTTTGAAACCTGGAGAAGATGAGCCACGAAGGCCAATTATTTAAATTTATTTTTTGACCAAAGGCTGCCTTACATATTCGGTTTTGAGACAGTAACAGACAAACCTAATGACTCTGGATGATTGTAAGATTCGTAAGTTAAATATAATTTCATCAGTAATCAATCGACGTTGTTCTCAATGTCGCCGTCCAATTGCTTAGCTCCGTCCTGATCGCCGTATTTTGGTGACACTCATCACGTGGGAAAACATGGAAAACACTCTGTACTATAAACACAAATACACAGACGTTTTGTGTCCGAAACGTTTTCTTGTATTTTCAGGATTTTTTGGTGACAGGAAAGCTCAGATTGCTGAACTTGCTGACCAGGCAGCCAGAGGAATCGTGGATTTTTACCACAGTTTAGCAGTGAGGTCTGTCAACGATGCCATCATGAAAGTGAATGACCTCTTTATCGCTCTCTACGTTATTGAGAAAATAAATCCAAACGCCGATGGTAAGAATGAGTGTTCTGACTACTCTACAAACTCGTTCCCAGACTCTCTTTCCTCTGCCTCCCTCGACGACCAATGGAGGCAGAGTAGAGAGAGCCTGGGAACGACGTTGCTAACTCTACACCTTGCATGCAGCTGGCGCCCCTGAAGTTTGAATTGACCAATCAGGATTCAGAAGGCGGGGGAAACTGTACTGTCCTGACGTCCATGTATGTTAACAGGAATAGGAAGGCATAACACTCAGGAAACGTTTCTCACCAGAGACGGCATTTACAATTCCAAAGCCAACCCATATCCATAGACTGTAAAAAGTGAAAAATATGAAGCATTTTGTGTCTCCAATCTTCTAATTTGGCGCCAAAAATGGGTCGCCCGCGTCCGACAACTCACTCGTAGTTTGTCGAGTGTCACCAGCTAGGAAAATAGTTGTGTTATTTTGAGCAAAACATGTTGTTCCGCGTCAAATTAAACTCGAAATTCTCAAGTTTTGTATTAGAAGAGGCCAAAGTAACTTCAGCGTTCTCTTTGCTTTTGTTTGCTGCGAAGAAAAAGACTGTTATTGTGTCGTTTTGGTAGGACACTTCGGTTTTGACTGGTGCAGGCGCCGCATGCAAGGAGAGGCTGGATTAACTCCAGTTTATGTTACATATAGGCCGCATCAAACTTTAACCAGCGTCTTTGTTTATTTTTATTAACAGCACGTCCCATCGTGCGACGCTTGGCGGAGTCAGTAAGCCAGACTGTTAAAGACACCATGCAGCCAGAGGAACCCAACCCAGAAGACGCCGTTGCACGCGCTATGCGAAAAGCCGCTGAACAGATGGTCTTAGATTACAACGATCTTGTCCGGCTTGTCAACAATGCTTGATTTCAAGGGGAAATAAAGTTAACCTGGCATAATAACTAACAAACTGGGTTCGTTTTCCTTGCTTCTAATTCTCACCATTTCGTGTAACAGTAAAATACACCAGTCCACGAAAAGTATCATATTTGAAGGAACTGTCAGTGCTAGATAAGACCCTGATAGACTTAAATGAAAGAAACCAAACTGTGTGTTAATATAACTTATAGCTTCAAACTAAGGGGAGAAACGCCTGTTTGGGAACTGAAGACATGTGATAACCCCTTCATATCAAATCCAGGCCAGAGCTCAAAATTAGAAGACGCTCCTGCAGCTTCAAGTTGAAACGCCGAGAATTAAGTAACACGCTAGATCATTAATGAAGATTGTGATTTTCTTGTTTTTAGTTCTACTCTGCTCGAGATCGAAACACGGGTTGGTTATTCTTGGGTGTTTTAACAACGTTTAAAATTAAAACGTAGGGCAGTATGGCTCCTTGCATAAGACCTTGTGTCAACTACGTATACTTGAAGGCCAACCTCGTTACCAGGGCTTTTCTCTAAGAAATTGGGAGGGGCAGAAAAAAAGCCCTGGGAACGAGGTTGCTTCAAGAGCGGCTTTTCCTCTGATTGATGAAAACTCCTATCATCTGACTTCGAGTATTTTCAGGTATTGTTGTATTGAACCTGAATGAGTTAAGGTGACAGACATGACAAAATATCTCACCATTTACATCACCTTATACTTCTGTTTCATATACTTCCGCTTCTGAAATTTGACCCCACGTCCAATATGCGGCTAGTTCATCTGTCGGCGGAAGAACGTGAGAACCCCACCAAAAAACAGCCACCCCCATTTTGAAGTGTTGTATGTAGGATGTCTCTCGTTCAACCCTTTAACTTCTAAGAGGGTACTTTATAATTTAATTGACCTTTTCCTTAGACCTTACGCAACACCATGAATGAATCCATTTGACGTCAACCAATGGTAAGTCACAAGATTACTAATAGTGATCAACACAAACTTGATAAAATTTTTGCAGGCATGTGTTGAATGCTAGTATACAATCGCACATTTCAGACCAGAGCCACGCACCAAAGAAATCAACTTGTTTATGTAAAGTGGAATGGCTGGTTCGCACACCTATCCGGGAATCATTTGATTCAGGGGTTTGTGGAATGAATTATGTATGTGGAGTTCGGGGTGAAAGATTTAACCGTGTGATTATATCACGAGGCACCACAAAGCTAAGGTTCAAACTAAGGGACTAAATGCATGTTTGGTTAACTGAGGACACTTCATAACGATTTTCACATCAACTCCAAGCCCAAACTCAAAATCAGGGGCTACGTGCATGTTCTAGGCCCGAGTATAAACTCCGAGAATTTGGTAACACGCAACCGATCATCGAGGAAGACTGTCATTTTCCTTTTTTTTGTTACCAATCCCCTAGAGATCGGAATACGTATTTTAAAAACCTTTAAAGTTAATACGCAGGGCAGTATACGTTGTCGTCGTAATACTTTGTGCCAACTATACTTTCAGTGAAGGCCAACCCCTTACGAAAGCTTTTCTCTCAGAAACAGGGACGGGCAGGAAAATTAAGCCCCAGAAAAGCGCAGTGCTTGAAGACAACTCAGCTAAGGCGCTTGTAGACTGAGTGATCAAACTCCTATCCTCCGACTTCGAGCATTTTCAGCTGTTGTTGTATTGAGCCTGAGTGAGTTTAAAAGGTGACAGTCATGAGAGAATATCTCACTATTTACATCACCTTATTAAACTATTTTTGGATCCAGTTGCGTTGATTTTATTTGAGAGCTGAATGATTCTTTATTTTATTTTATTTAATTCAACAGTACAGTAGTAACACTACGTACAACAATTACAGTATTTACAATACTAACGATGTTTACATTACTTACAAAGCTACCCCTAATCCTCCGTAGGAAAAAAAGATGGCGACTGGTACATTTACTCACAGATCTTAGTTTACGACAACTTTAAAAACGTTTATAAAAACGTACAGAAATGTTATAAAATCTTCAAACCCAGGCTACTCAATGTCCTTTGTACAGGGACAAATATTATAAACATTTGGTTTTCTTGGTGCCTTATAGGCTGTGTTAGGTTCGCAAGGCATTGTGGTAAAATGTACAGCCGCCAACTTTTTTCATACGGTGGATTGCAATAAATACCTAGCGATAAACAGGTTAAAAACTACTTACGACTGGAAATTTTTTTAAAATTAGCTTACTCTACATACTACTTATAATATATATAACTTTAAATACTATATTATGCTTACACTACTTACAAAATGATTTTTTTTTAATTAGCTTACTCTACATACTACATGAGACTCACACTACTTACATTAGGTAATAGGTAACCTTATACTTATGTTTCATATACTTCCTCTTCTGAAATTTGACTCCTCGTGCTGTGTGCGGCGGGAAAACGTGTAAACTCCACCAAACAAGACGCCCCATTTTGAAGTGTTGTATGCAGGATATCTCTCGTTCAACTAAAAGTGCCCTTTATAATTTAATTGGTCATTTCCTTAACGCCCTACGCAACACCATGAACGAATACATGTGACGTCAATCATTGGTAAATCAAAACATAACTATAATGATCAACACACTTACGTACAAACTTGATAAACTCTTTGTAGGCATGTTTTAAAGCTAGACAATCGACTATTTCACCAGAGCCACTCACGAAAGAAATCAACTTTTTTTTTATGTACAGTGGAATTCTTGACTCGCACACTTATGCGGGAATTATTTGATTCCGTTGTGGTTCGTCTTAAACGTTAGGTTTTAAAACTGTTCCGGCTGAAGGAGAGAGGATTAAGAAACACACACAGAGAATCTCTTCAGGCAACGAAGAAGCGCGAAAAAGCAACCGAACCTAACATGAAAGCAACGTTCCTTTCTATATTGTCACAATGGTAAGAGCTATCATTATGAAGTTGAAAAGAAAGCTTGAAAAAGAAATTACCGCATGATAAATATTTCTCATTGTCTTTATATGCTTTGGATTAATTACGTGACGCCGAATGCAAGGCTATTGAATATTTTTGAGTTAATCCGATCTATGCCAACTTTTTTCCACTGATAATTTTCATTAGGTTCATATCGCCTCCATCGGCGTTAAATAATGTTCGTAAAGGTTGATACATAAAAAACAACATTCATTAACACAAAATGAAAACATTATTTACAACGCTAAAACAGTTACTTGTTAAAATTACTAAAAGGGCATAACTGGGTGAATCAAGTGTTTATTATAATTTCGGCATCAAATTCTATTGTAAGTTAATATTATGAGGACTTCACATTAAGTGATGTTAAGTTTTCGGTTTAATTCTGTGTCGAATTGAAAAGGCTTGGACCTTACCTCTCGGCTTCCCCTTTTTAGAACAGCTAAATAATGTTTTAGACTTGTAAATAGAACGTGATTTATATCAAAAGCAATGGACAAAATGAAATTATCTTTAAAAACAGGCGTAAAAATGTAAAATCCAAGGCAACTCTGTCAGTTCCGCAGAGAGAGAGAATGAGAAAAAGAAAAAGAAAAGAAAAAAAGAAAAAAAAAAAGAATATAGCAGAATATTTAGCTCTCACACTGAGCACTCTGAAAGGTTAGGTTTTAACCTTTCCGGCTGAAAAGAAGTGGATAGAGAAACGCAGGGAGAGCGCAAGGAAACTGTAACAGAATACGCGAGAAAAAGTAGCAGAAACGCCCAACGAAGTAACTACAAACATACTATGTTGTCACCAAAACAAACAGAAATATGTATACTGACGAGAATGTTCATAAAGCTAGTTACAGTTCCCTTATACGGATTGCTTAGATTTTTCTGATGGTATAAAAAGTTAATTACATACGCGAGCTTTGTGAGAAGAAATCCAGAAAAATGGGTGTATTAAAGTGACAAGATTAAGGGGATCTTTAATGAATTTGCCAATATTCGTCTCAAAACCAAACGCAAATCTTGTCAGAGGTACGCAGGGAAAAACAAGAACAGCTTTTGCGAAGTTTAGCGGAACATTCAGCTCACACGCCAAGTATCTGAGTTTGAATATCGAGTTCCTCTTAAAAGTTAAGTGTTAACGGTTTTACCGCTGAAGAGAAGTGGATAAAGAAAGAAGTAAGGAATGAGGAAAAAAGACCCGAGAAAAACGTAACCGAAACACCAGAAAGTAACATTCCATGACCAAAATACAGCTACTTGTAGTTCCTGGTGAGCAATGTAATTTATGAACGGAATAAAGCTTGTGAGCGAAATTTGGGTGAAAGAGTCAGAAACTGAGTAGATAGGCGTAAAAGGAACATAATCGCGTTGTGATAAAATGATACATTATTTGTGTATTTCCATCTAAATACGCTTTCGTAATTTCCTAGAAAACCATACCCTTTGTCAAACAAGAAGGTGAACCCATACCGAATTTCTGCCAAAAATCTAGTGCGCGCCCATTTTAGACCAGAGCACTCCTATGGGCGAAACCTCTCCCCTGTGGAAGTTATCCTTGCCTGTATACGTAATCCGGTTTTCTCTCAAATTGCTACGTATGAGTCGTAGTCACGTAGGCGCTGAGAAATAGTTTCTCTCCAAATGGAAAGGGAGTTGAAAATCCGTTAGAAGCGGTAAAGCTATGTGAAAACGTGGGTACAGAACGTCAAGTTCACAAATCCATTTGAATTTGAAAACGGAGCAGTAACTTTTCTTGTTTATTTTACGTGATGTGTCGCGTAATGGCCGTAATGTGTGGTCTTAGGCTTCCAACACGCGCGGAATTCAAAATATAATTGCGGCACACGCCCCAAAAGTAGGTTACGTAAACGTATTTGTTTACATCAGCGCATAAATCATTATTTGTCTTCTCTTTATCAGTGAAACACATCTCTTTCAGCACAGAATCCTCATACGCCCATTTTCGAGTCGTAATCAATCTATGACCTTGCCCTCATAACTTGTCATCGTGTCTCCGAAGCAGCCATCTGTCTATCTGTTGACAGACTGCTTCGTA